CCAGTGTATATGGAAATTCTTTTGGGTTAGTTTGATTTTACTTTTCGATTTTGTGACCGCCTGATCACAAATAGTTTGAGTTTACTTTTCGATTTTGATTTTACTTTTCGATTTTGTGACCGCCTGAAACCTTTAAAATTTGGCGAAGAGAGTTCTTGTGGGAACAAGAAAATGGCAAAAAAAGTTCAAAAATTTTGTGGTCCAACAGACCACCTAGAATATAGATGGGCTTAAGTTGGGGAATCAAAGCTGGCAGTAAGAGAGAAAAGAGGAAAAGGTTGTCTAATCTCTTTTTCATACCTTTGCATCATGCATATTAAAATTTGGTGGCTACATATTTTAATTTTATTTTTAGAGTTTGGATAGAATTTTATTTTTATTTATTAAAACTAATTATTAAAAATACGATTTTTGGGGTTAGTTTGATAAGTTTTTTTTTTATTTTTATTTATTTATTATAAATCTGTTTTTATGTATGTGTTGGATTTTGGTATGGTTCTCTTGTAGATAAGACAGAAGAAACCTTCTCAAACTTTGTGACAAACCCAAGCTATCATATTTCATATATTGTTGTAAGTAATTGTGACCTCATGTACTAAAGGTAATTGGTGTCATTGTACACAATTCCTCAATAAATTGTGGTCCCAAGAAATACTTCCATCTGTCTCAAAACTTATTTAAGTAAACACAATTTTAGGATAGAATAATACTTCGACAGATGATTTCTCATGTTTTGGAGCTAGCTGCTGGGCATTTAATGTGTTAAAAAAAAACAATCATTGATAAGCTACAGTTTCACTTGTCATCAACAGAGGGACCAGTTTGCGATCCTGGTGGTGCGATCATTTCTTAGCCCTGATCACTTCAAGCTAAACATTGATAGGGCTTTCTTGTCTAACCCAGGTCGAACAGGTGGGGGTTGTCTTATTAGAGACTGTAATGGTACTTTAACTATGTGGAATTCTCTCTTCTTGAAGAAATTCCGACTTTAGCCGATCTTTTAAAGTGTTTCTCTCCTCAAATTGAGAGCGATTTGGCCTTGTTTGTTTATGTTATTCATGAACGTTGTTTACCTCTTCGAAAGTTATACACAATTGCAGCAAATTGAAGACAACAACATCCTAATCATGAGTGGTCTGTGACCCACCCTTTTCGTGAGGCCAACACGGTGGATGATACTCTTGTAAAGAGGGCTACATCTCATTTACAAGCCACTGTTTGGTGTGCTCGTCCGTCAGACTCTATTTCCCTTGCGTTTACGGATACTTTGTTTCAGGGTTGTAAAGAAATGAGTTATAACTTTTTTATTTTTAAGTATTAATGAAAAATGGTAGGAAGCCTTCTCCCCACCGGCTTACGTAAAAAAAAAAAAGGGTAAACACAATTGTGCATAAGTGGGTGCATTCTTAAAGCATAAAAAGCAAAGTGTATCATAGCCACGGAGATACAACGCATCTTTGTAAAGCCGCAGTCCCTTTTGTTTTATTTTTTATTTTTTTAATTTTTTTTCTTGTCATGTCTTTCAAAAGAAATCGCGTTTTCCATGAATCCGCAGTGCATGAATCTTTTTTAGGGCAAAAGCTGAGAATACACGGTTATAGCCCATGCTAAATTGATGAATAGATAGAAATAGAAAAGGCACGTTATGTCATGGGACATGCTCTAATATACTTTACTTTCCATTCAGAAAGTTCAAGCCTTTTGGTTTCCTTTAAATAAGCATAAATGCTTGTTTCGTATCCGCAAAAACAAAAATGCAAACAGGTTTGGAAGAGAGAGAGGGGTGTATCTTTAACAAGGAAAATGGTTTGATAGGGCTACAGCCCTATCAAAATAGTCACCTAATAACTCATCGGAAATTGTTATTCAAGCATTGAAAACCTTTACATCGATCATCTTGCTGGAGCATTATGGTTATTAAAAAAATTAAGATTTTAAGCTCTAAAAATAATGCTATTTTACTTTAAAAATAAGTGTTCTGCAAGATCTTTACTATTTTTCTAATTTCAAATTTCATGATCGGTGTTGAAAGTTGATTTTAAAGCCTTTCATTGCTAAAAATGATTTCCAGATGAGGTTTTATTTTGTTTTGATAAAGAATAAGCCTTGGAGGAAGCACAAAGGAAAGATAGTGTTGGTGGCTCAATTATTGAGAGGCCCTTGATTAACATGCTTTTTCCAATGGATCACTCAATTGTTGAGGCCCTTGGTTGGCATGTTTTTCCTAAGGGATTTTGATACACTCATTTTTTGGTGAATTGGGTTCCCCCTCCTTTATTTTTTCTCTTCCCTTTTTATGAAGCACCCCTTGTTTGAATAAGTGGCATTCAAACATCCTTTGGGATATATTCGCAGTCAAATCATGGCCCATAATCCAGATGCTTTTGAAAGCTAGTGATAACATCTATGTTTTAGGTGGTAATTTTAGGAAAAAGTGGCTTAACTTGTACCAAACATTGTTTTTAAACTTAGGTCGAGTAGTTGATTTTGGTAGGATTAGGCCAATTCTGTGTGCGAATGGTATAAAATAACTTAGATAATGTTTTCATAATAAAAATAAGAAATAGTAAAAAATAAGGATGCGGTTTGTATAGAGCCTAGGCTCTAAACAATCAAATTAGAGCTTACCTTCAAATAGTGTCGAGAAATGTGGTTTCAGTACTGGAAATCTTTGTGATAGCCTTAAAATATATATTTTCTCTTATTTTCTCTTATTTATAAAGTTTAATGCTTCAAAAATAGTGTAGATCAACAGATCTATGAAAACTTGAAAATATTGAAAATTGACGATCCAAAAATACGTTACAAAATACATTATTTCCAAAACTAAGTGAAATTATTATAGAACTAAGTTAAAGAATAAAGATGGTCATCACCCCTTATTGAGGAGTCCAAATGGGTAAAACATATTATAGTTTACAATCCCGAAATTTAAATGCATGCACTGGTGCTAAAGTAGTAAGTATATTTGAGAGATTTATGCTAATGTCCCCTACCCATGAAAATTTTGGTTTTACATTAATACCGACTAGCTTGAGTTTTTATTTTTCCAAATTGCCCCTACTCTAGACATTGAAGGTCCATTAATGTTGGAGCAACTTCGGACCTTCGAGGTACGAGGTAGAGGTAACTTGGGAAAAATAAAAAATTTGAAAAAAGTCGGTATGATCATAAAATCAAATTTCTTAAAAAATTGGTTTAAAGAGTGGCTCTAACCATGTTATGTTATGATCAAATCCAGTTTTTTCTTTGAATCATATGGGCAGAGGCAAAGGTTGGCAATTTGATCGATTGGACTAGTGCATCCACTTTAGTTTTGGAAGGTTTTAGGACCCAAAACACATTTCAAATCACTGTAATTCATTTCCAAATTCGTTTCCTCCTTAAATACAAGAGCTCCGAAAGCGGTGCAGACATGATGGTGTTTTTTTGAAGAATCGAAATGTAGGCCACAAAAAGAAAATGCACACAACAGACCATTTTTCAGGATCAAACCAATGTTTGTAAAACAGCCCGTTTTGACTCGGACCTGGCCGGGTTACCTGAATCCATCCACTGGGCGACCTAGTTTTGGTGGTCAAGCCGGGAATTTAAAAAAATAAAATTAAAAATTTAAGTAAAAATCCAAAAAAATAAGAAATTAATTTGTAATGTAATGGTTATTTTTTTGTCTAACATTTTAGAAATATTGGAAAGCGTTTTGGGCGTGAATATTTATTTTTACATTTTTCATTCTTTTTGGATTATTTTTAAAAGTCACAAATTGATTTTTCACTACTTTTTTTTTAATCTGTTTCGTTTAATTTTACTTTAAACATAATTATGGTATTCTTGGAAATTTTCATAGTTGTTTTCATTTTTTAACAAATTCGTGGTATAGTAGGGATCAGGGCTAGTTACCCAGAGCAGTTCCCGGTTACTCGGACCCGACTCACGGCCCGAGTCAAGCAATTACGCGGACTCAAACTTCGTTTTGTTCTTTGAAATTCGTAATCGTGGCAAACTAGGATGACAGACTTACAAATCCACCAGGTGCGTCCCTTGATGCACCTAAACCCCACCCAAATAAAATACGATCTATTTGCTAATAATATTATGTGGTTTCTCATCATACAAATAATAAATGACATTTTTGGCAGACCCACCTGCTCCATCACCGTCCAACCCATTGATGGACACGGTGATAAATTCAGGGTGGACCATTTAGATTTTCCCATTCCCATCTGACCTTATTCCACAATAGCAGGAAATGTGGAATGGTAGATAGCATTCCTCATAGAAAAAGTAAAGATTGTGATCATAGGCCCATTGTTGATTAAAAACTAAAACTAGCAAAATAATTGTTTGAGTTATAATATTGACATTACCCAAGGAAAAAGCTTATAAACGGTTGAGACCTTAAATTATAGGATTAAGTTGCGCCTCAAAGATCTATTAGAAAGGCTATTTTAATGCTGAAAAACCATCTAATTGTCTATCTCAACATTGAGATAGAAAAAAAAGAAAAGGATTTCAGGTACCAAAAATAGTATATCTTGCAACATATTATTTAGACCGTCGATTTTCAAGATTTTCATGTAATAGATCAGCTTGATTTGAACCATTTTTTGGAGTTTAAAATTTTATAATAATTTAGGCACTAAAATTGCATCTCGAGACAAAATTTGGAAGTCATTACTTACTTTGATTGTTTAAGGTTGTAACTTTATGCAAATGTCACCTATTAAAAACATATATATCGAATGGCAGATTCTGAATGTTTTTCTGTTGGTAAAAAGAAATAAATAAATCAAACAAAAATTTTTATTGAAATCATATTGCAAATAGACCCCCATGACAAGCCAAAAATGAATGAGTGCTTTTTATTGGAAAAGGTGGCTTACTGGATAAAACAATCATTAATGTAATATGTAGCCATTGCAACTGCAAAAAGATTCAATTTAGATAATTAGTTGTAGCAGATCATGGGAACATTAAACATTCCAATAGGAGATGCCTAACAAATAAATAAATCAGAAAAAAATAAGTTGGTGCGTTGTGCATAATCAATGGCACACCTTTAGCCATGTAATTTCACATTTGATGGCTAAGAATAAATGTGACATCCTTGTGTCAAAAAATAAATGCTCTCATCTTATAATTTCCCTATTCTCTTTTCCTACAGATGTTGATAAATTTATCTTACATGTAAAAACCAAGCTTCAAGCATGATAATGCCTCTAGCAACTAAAAGACTTGACAGTTTTTATCAAGTCTGGAAAATTTTACATGGAAAGAGAGTCAATAACAAAAAAAAAAAAAAAAAACAACAACGAACCCAACGTCTCAAATAAGAGGAGATTCAGAAAAAAAGAGAGGAAAAAAAATCCCAAAAGCACGACTTCAAATTAGAACTAACTTTAAAATGGTGAAAACCTCCTTTTCATAAATTAAAATACCATTGAGACAACAATGAAACACACTTTAAGGTGCAACCACACCGTAAAGAAATGCTTATCTCATTGAGCAAAGTTTTCAAATACCCAAGAAAGGAGTTTAATAGAGAAAGAAGAAATGTTTATCCATTGAGCAAAGTTTTCAAACACCTAAAAAATGAGTTTAATATATATAGAGGAAAGTGGTGACCATCCTTTTCTTAAAAAATAGGAGAGAAAATAATTTTGTTCAACTAAAGTAAGAGTGAGGATGATCACCATCATTTAAGCAGGAAGGATGTCTGGGCAGTGGAATCCCCCTCCATTTTGCTCACTTGCCTTCCTGCCTCATGACTCCCTCTCAACAACCTCACCTTCCCACCTCTTTTTTTTGATGACAAGTGCCCCAAGTTCGTTGCAGACACCAAGGGGCTCTTTATCTAAGTGTGGACATTCTTCTACCTCAAGATGTTTAATCAGTGGGCAAAACAGCACACTTTTGCTGCATATATTGCTCAGCTGCGGTAGATTGTTTAGCCACAAATCTCTTAGCCGGGGTAGAGTCAACAATAATGGTGATGATGATGATGGTCCATCTACTTCAATCACCTCCTCCAAGCCTTTACAATCCAAAACTTTAAACTCTTCCAAGTTGTTGAAACGTTGCGCTATGCCCTTTGTGAACACCACCTTCAGTATATTGCATTCAGATATGCTTATTCTCCTTAGGTTAACAAAGCAGTATGGTGGTGGGATACCGATACATATCGCTTCTAGTTTAGGCAAACCCCAAAGCCTCAACTCTCTCAAGCATTGAAAGGAGTCATCTTTGGCCTCCTCACCAACCACCAAACTCTCCAATTCCTCACAGTGGTTTACCTCAAGAATGTTTGAGATGCAAGTCGGTACCCGCGTCACACCCTTGCAACGAAACATGTCTAATTGAGATAGGCATTGGGATCCATCCAATGCAATCAAGGCATCGACATTTTCAAACTTGCAACTTTCTAAACTCAAAATCTCCATACTCCTGGCTAATGGCTTGATCCAATCAGAAATAATAATATTATTTAGTCTAATGACAAGCCTACTCAAATGGTTCAATTGGGTCAGGTCCCAAACATTATGAATGATGCCTCTCCCATCTCCTTCATCATCATCATCACCATCATCATCATCCACTCTCCATTTTATACCAACAGCACCTAACACGTCTAACTCCTCCAGCTTAAGCAAACGAGAGAACATTCCTCCAGGAATTTTAAAACTTGTTTGTCTTAAATTTAAATACCTTAAATTAATCAGATCTCCCATCCCTTCAGGCATCTTCTGCACAGTCCAACAGTTAAACAGGTCCAAATACTGGAGTTGTTGGAGGCCTCCAATTGGTGGTAATTCTTCTAGGTAATAGCTGTTCCTTAATATGAGCACACGGAGATTCACTAAATATGACAAGGAAGGCGAAAGAGATCGAATCTGTGTCCAAGTAAGATCAAGCACGCGAAGGCCTTCCATGTATTCAAAGAAACCACTCGACGGGATGACTGTTATAGTGTTGTTGTTGTTAAGAAGCAATGTAGTAAGTTTTGGGGAGGCCTGTGACAATTCAGGAAGAGCCTCAAGTTCATTATTTGACAGTGAAATTCTGTCGGCCTCTTCCCAATCCGTAGCCTCAGGAGCCACCTTCAATGAAGCTTGGGCTTGCACCAAGAACTTGGGGCCGTCTTCAGTCTCAGGAGAGGTGATCCATAGTGCTAGCTCGCGCATCATATCGTGCATTCTCACCTCGCCCTCACCCTCTTCTTCCCCATTTTTAAGCATGCATGCGGTTTTGAGACTCCCAACCAAGGTAGCAACTTTATTGCGGGTGGCTCTCAAAGTACCTAGCCTATCCACAAATCCTTCTCCAATACAATGAATTGCTAATTCATTTTGTTTTATTGAATAATCTTCAGGATACAAAGCACAAAAAAGGAAGAGCGACTTGTGCGTATCGCTCTCTAATCTATCATAACTAAACTTTAAAGAATCAAATACCTTTTCCTTCATACCTCGGAGGCTTGCAGCTGACTGGTTCAATTCTCTTACGGCATCCTCCCATTCCCCCACCGTGTGTCGGTTTGCCATGGCATGTGCAATAGTGGTAATGGCTAGGGGCAGGCCCTCAGCCTTTCTTAGGACAATCTCAGCATGAGGTTTTATTAGAGGTGAAGTAACATGCTCACCTGCTGTTTTAATGAATAGTCTCCAAGCCTCTGCATCTGATAATTTATTCACTTCTATTGTGATTTTAGCCCCTGTGTCTGTACATACATCTTGATTTCGGCTGCTTACCAAAATCTTGCACCCACTCTCAATTTTGGGTCGCGGGATTCCTATGTCCTCGAGTTTCAGTTCATGCCATAGGTCATCCAGGATAAGTACATGCTTCTTCCTCCTTAGTGCAGCCAACAACTTATCCTTTGCATCCTCCTCATTGCAACTCGACAAATCCAATCCAAGGTATTGGCCAATCTTTTTTTGAATATTCAGTATATTTGGAGTGGCCGACACTGTAACCATTATAACAGTGTCAAAAGAAGGCTGCTCTTTGAAGTGATTGTTTACATTTTCTAGCAAAGTGGTTTTGCCAACACCCCCCATTCCATATACTCCGATGACCCCATAATGTTGGTCATTTATGGCATCAAGTATCTTTTGCAAAGTGCCTTGAACACTTGGTTGGTCCTCGATGGGTGTGGTTTCTAACACTCTCACGGACTCTGGAGGAGGTGGTTTTGCTAAAACAAACTGTGCTGCAAGCCTGTCATCAACCACCAGCTTGAGCATCGTAGCCCTCTTGCTCAATTTGTACCGAGACCAACAATTTGTACACAACCCCTTTAGACATGTCATTCCTTGTCTATACTCCTCTTCGATTGCATCGGCTTTTGTTTTGATTTCATCGACTGCCTTTAGCCAATCACTCACCATGCCAGTCGGGAGCTTCCCTTCTCTCTCTGCTGCTTCTAATGCGCTCCTTTCGTCCTCCCTCCTGCCCGTTAGCTTCCCAGTTACATCAATCAAGGCCTCCACATTGTCCTTGAGGTGTATTAAGTAGCCAACTTGGGGGATTAGGGGATCAATCAAATATTTGGTTATAATGTCGAGAATTGGGCTTATGAAATCCATGAGAAGAGAAAGAGAAAGAGAGAGATGGTGCTGATCTTTTGGAAAATTTCTAAACTGAATAACAAAAGAAAGTAATTGGGGTTGATATTTAGGAAAAGAAGGATAGATGGTGGGGATATTTAGAAAACTAACAATAATAACCGAGAACAAGAGCTCCTAAATGACAAATGCAAGCAGGTTTGGAAGATTTAGAAGGAGAGAGAGAAGATAGGATCTCAATACAAAGTATTGTTTGCTGAATTGGGAAAGAGATAAGGTAGAGGAGGGAGGAAACACGGAAATTGAAAGAAGAGGAACTCAAAAGGAAAAGCCTCACAAAATTGAAGAAGCACCATCTTAGTGAGAAGATCATGGAGCCTTTAAAGAGGATGCTTTTTCCCAATCGCTAGTGGTAAACGATTCTGCTTTTCCTTTTCAAGCAAAAAAGATTTTATGGTCTGAAGGAGCATATTGTATGTTCACCCCATTTGATTAAACAAAAGTCTATCTAGAAGTATCCAAAATCCCTGGTACGTGACCTAGCAACCTAGTGATCAGCCTCAAAAAAAGAAAAAGAAACTAAATGTGGCCGAAATCTAAAAACTGGATATAGACCGGCAATGTTTTTTAGATTGTCAAAACCATAGTTACCGGGAGCAGAAGCGGGAACGGCTATGGTTCTGGGAGCGAGAGCATCGGATCGAGGGTTGCCTAAAGCTCTGGAGCGAGTTCCGATGAGGGTAAAAGTTGCTGATCAATATCCTGTATGAACAGGGAGCGCGTTTCCGATACATTGGGATCGAGGTCATCATTTAACGGGAACACGTTCTATATAAAATGGGATCATGTTCCTATGCTCATTAGGATCGCGCTCCCATAGACAACATAAACGATATCTCATTTAAAGTTGAGTCGTGCCCCCATCTAAGAAAAATATATTCTTATTTGGAATGGATCGAGATCCATTCAACGTTGGATCGCGTTCCGCTTAACTTGAAGCTAATCTCCAACTGTCCTCTCTCTCTCGACCAAACATTCTCCGCACCCCTAATACAATGGATCCATTTGCCAAAATTCGGTAGACCAGTGAAATTTAGAAATAAATGGTACAAAAATCACATCATAAGAAAGAGCATTTTAGGGTCCATTTTCTTACACAATCATTGACATATTTTCCAATATTAAAACAAAATGTATCGGTGATTTGAAATGCATCTTTGTAAAGTCGTGGTTCTACAAATTGATTTCTATTTTGTTTCTCTCTTAACTTTTTCTCTTTTTTTTTTTTTTTTTTTTTTTTTCAAAAGAAAACATGAAACGGCAGTGCATGAGTCCCTTTTAGGACAAAAGATAAGTATATCACCAACTACTGCCCCCACGCTCTATTAATCAATAGATAGAAGTGGACCACCCACTTTATGTCATCGGACAAGCTCTAATACGCTTTACTTTCTTTGACATAAAGTATAAGCCTTTTGTTTTCCTTTAAATAACAAAAGCAATTGCAAACAGGTTGGGAAGAGAGAGGGATGCAGGTTGGGAAGAGAGAGAGATGCAGAACAAAATAGGGTGGTTACAATTTTTATTTTTATTTTTTTGTTAATTTTATTTTTAAAGTTTGGGTAGAATTTTTATTTTTATTTATTAAAGTTAATTATTACCAATATTATTTTTAGGGTTAGTTTGATATATATATATTTTACATCTGTTTTTACGTATGTGTTGGATTTAGGTATGATTGCCCTCTAGATAAAACCCGTACTTTTAAGATCAACGTCAAAAAAAAAGGTTTTAGTAAGAACTGGTCTTCTAGATAATACACCCCCACATTGTAGAACAAGTCAAAGAATGGAGTCGGTCGACTTCGTTTTTTTTTTTTTGGTTAATTCAGTGGGGACTACGAACCTCTACTCTTCTTTTTTTTTAAATCGTTAACGATTTTTTATTACGTTAGGTGAAAATGGAAGCCTAGACCGTAGATGAGACACAAGTGGTGCTACCACCATGATCCCAACCACATTCTCAAAGGGGGTCGACTTTGCCTACAACTTCATTGCTCATATGTTCCCCGCTGTTTCCGCCTCTAAACACTAAAATCTCATTCTTAGATTCAATCGTATGCAAATCACTGGACCCACATTCTTAATTATGCAAATCAACTCCTTTTATAAATGATTTTCTTTTCTTTAATTTTCTAAAATCCATGAGGGAAAAGAGAGAGAGATGGTGTCGATCTTTTGGAAAATTATTAGAGTGAGAAAGTAAATAGATTTATGGGGCTGATGTTTAGGGAAAGAAGGATAAATGGTGGGGATATTTAGTAAACTAATGTTAGTAACTACCAACAAGAGCTCCTAAAAGAAAAATGCTTGCAGATTTAGAAAGAGAGAGAGGATAGGACCTCAATACAAAGTATTGTTTGCTGAATTGGGAAGGAGAGAAGGTAGAGGAGGGAGGTAGGAGGGTAATTGAAAGAAGAGAAACTCAAAAGTAAACAAGTTTAAAGAAGCACAAAGGAAAGGTTGTCTTAGTGGAAGATCATGGAGCCTTTAAAGATGATGCTTTTCCCCACTGCCTAGTGGTATACGATTCTGCTTTTCTTTTTCCAGCAAAAAATATTATAAGGTCTGAAAGAGCATATTGTATGTTTAATCTTTTTGATAAAAAAAGGTCTATCCACAAGTATCCAAAATCTCTGACCTGTGACCTATCAACCTAGTGATCAACTTCAAAAAAAAAAAAATCATAACGATAATAATAGTAATAATAATAAAAAACAAAAGAACTACACGTGCCTGAAAACTAAAATCCGGATATAGACTAGCATTTTTTTTATATTGTAAGATCTTAGTGTTTAGGCGCTCAAATATTTTGTTTTTGAAATTGCTCATCCAGTGATTCTAAAGTGCCCTACGAAATTTAGATAAAAAAATAACCAATTATCATTTACCTTAGGGAGTAAATATATTTGTATAGTGTGATCATGCAATAGTGCGCAATGGGTCTTGCCATTTATTCAGGTGTCAATTGGGCTTGACATGCTTTATTTTTCAGTTATTTTTTGTATAAGTAGCCGACCAACTTTAAAATTTCTTATGGGCACAAAGCAAATATTGAACCACCATTATGGTGGATTTTCCCCTTAAGTTTCTATTATACATTGCTCTTCCAGCATAAAATGCAGAATTAGTACCCAAAAACAAAAAAAAAAAACAGGAATCTTGTGTTGGCTTGCAAATCTATTTTTGCTTTTGAAGCTTAAAAAAATGGTACAAATATAGTGGATGTCAAATACTGGAATTGGCCGATCTAGAAATTGTATTATACAATAGACCTTGTGGGCTTGGAATTCACTTTGTAGCATATCTATGATTTTTTAGTTCGAGATGATCCATTTACAAAAATTGCAATTTCCAATAGCTAAATGCATCTTTATAAATTGTGGCCCCACAAAATACTTCCCCTGTCACCTATAATTTCTTTCAAATTTTATTCCAGTAATACATTGTGCGCAACAACAACGGGGTGCATTCTTAATGCGAAAGCAAATAATGTCACAGCCACAAAAATATATCCCTTAGTTGCAAGTATATTGTGTTCTCACAGGAACATACTGCCATTTACTCCCTTAGATCTAGCTATCCAAAATTAGAAAGTTTACCTTCAATTTTAAGATGCTTTTTTTTTTTTTCAGACACACAATTATTTTAAATGAATATTCCTTTTTGTTGGAATTTGGTTGCTAAATTGAATAAAATATATCTAAAATTTGATGTCTTAAAAATGAGAAAAGTTTATATCACATTGAGACCTTAAATTGTAGAATTAAGGTGCATCTCAAAAGTCTATAGAAAAGGCTATCTTGACAATGGAAAATCATCTAATTGATCATACGGAAATAGAGAAGTAGGGATAATGGGAAAAAAAAAAGAGATTTCAAGTCTCCAAAATAGTTAGTCTTGTAACATATTATCTGGACTGTCTATTTTCAAGATTTTCATATATTTATTGATCTGCTTGATTTGAACCATTTTTAGAGTTCAAAAATTTTATATTTGGAGATGAATATAGATTTTCTCACCATCCTAAAAAAATTTGACACCAAAATTGCGTTTTATAGAAGTACATCTCGCTTTGATTGTTTCATGTTGCAACTATTTTGAAACGACCGCCCCTAAAATACACGTCGATTGGCTTTTACTTGAGGGAGTAATAATACAATGTACTCCCGCAAGAGCGTAGAACCTTCTTAAATTAATCATTAGACAAGACCCCTTGTCTCTTTGGTCAAGAATAAACTTTTCTCGCCCTTTAATAAAGCATAAGCTTTTACTTTACTATAAAAACAAAGAATAAACTTCAACTTTCAAGCCTAATAAGGAGTAAGTAGAGGTCATGCTTTCTTCGGGGTATTGGTTTTGCCACCCATGTTTTAGAGATTAGAAGATCGTGTCTAGGTTGAAGAGAACGCATTCTTAAAATTTGATGCCCTAAAAATATTCCTAGGTTGGGTTTTGGAGAAGGCTCCTTACCCGTTTTTTCATTAATTTAGATGAGAAGAGAAGCAAATTTATCATACAACCCTATAATGGGGTAGTTGTGCCCGATCATAAAATATCAAAGTAGAAATATAGTCTAGTGGATGACAACTCCAAATAGTAGCATCGGGCTAGAGGATACGCTCTTAGCTAGGGCATTAGCGAACCATATTTGCCTTGTAAAAAACATGTGCAATGAACCATCTATGCATAGATTGTCCGGTTCAGCAATATGTTGGGTTTTACCTAGGGAAGTAAAAATACAGTATATTCCTATAGCATTGTATCTTAAAAGTTAAAAATAAAATACTCAAACGGTCCGTCACTCACTTGTGAAACGGTCCGTCACTCACTTGTGACATTGTGGCCGAAGTCATCCGAGCTATGAATTCAGATCCAACGACTCGGAGATGGGGGATGTAGAAAAACTTTCAATAGGTGGAGAAGTATAGTAAGTTTTCCCTACTTTTTATTTTTATTTTTTAACTAGCATTAAGTACCATTGGTTTCTACAATTAAGTTCACTTTTTTATGGAGGAAGGTAAAAAAGACCACGTGCATAAGAGTAAATTGTATCTAATATGGAAAAAGTTTATATAAGGTTGCGGGCTTAAAATGTAGAATTAAGGTGCACAACAAAAATCCATCATAAAAAGTTGTTTTGAGAGTAGAAAATCCTCTAATTTACCATCTCAACATCAAAATGTATCAGTAAGAAAAAAAAAAAAGATTTTGAATTCGAGAAATAGTGAATATTGCAACACATTATCTAGACCGTCTATTTTCAAGATTTTTATGTGTTCAGAGATCTATGTGATATGAACCATTTTTAGAGTTCAAAAGTTTATAATTAGATATGAAAATAGATTCCCAAGTCATCCTAATAATTTTTTATACCAAAAATTACATTTATGACAGACTTCAGAGGTGTGCCTTAATTGGATTGTTTAATGTTGCAAACCACACCCATCTAATATTAAATTGGAAGATTAAAATGAGAAGCATTACACATGAAATCCCTGCCTAGAAATCCAGTTTCAAACTCTCAAGATAGCCTATGAACCTATTTCATCCCAGCTTTGGATTTTGAAGTTCCTAAATTCAGTAGACATGCAAAATCTGGAAATAAATGATACAAAAATCATATCATAAGAAAGAGCATTTTAGGGTTTGAAATCCATTTTTTCCTGTCCGATACAAGCATTGACATGTTTTCCAATATTAAAATCATATCATTGACATGTTTTCCAAAAGCATATCATTAGCTTACGGATGCATCTGTAGCTGTTGAGGTAAGGTGCACCTTCAAATGCTATCATGGTATATAATTTTGATGTAAAATATTTTTAAGATTATCTCAAAATTTATTTTTATATCTAATTATAAATTTTTAAATTTAATAAATGGTTAAATCAAGTAGATCTATAAACATCTGAAAATCTTGAAAATGGACGATGTAGATAATATGTTGTAAAATGCAATATTTCTAAAACTTAAAATCCTTTTATTTTTCATGGTCATACATTTCGATATCGAGCTGATCAATCAAACGGTTTTTCAACATTAAAAATACCTTTTTTCGATGAATTTTTGAGGTGCATCCGTAGTTCTACATTATAAGATTGCATCCTTATATAAGCTTTTTTCATATTAAAACTGGATTTATCGGTGATTTAAAATGCATCTTTGTGAAGCGATGGTCCTACAAATTGCTTTTTCTCTTTCGTTTCTCTCCTCTTCTTCTTTTTTTTTTTTTTTTCTCTTTGTCAATTTATTTCTTGTCATTTCATTCAAAAGAAAACATGTTGTGCAGGAAACGACAGTGTATGAATCCTTTTTAGGGCAAAAGATAAGAATATTACCAACTATGGCCCCACGCTATATTAATCAATAGATAGAAATAGACAACAACTTTATGCCATGGGTACATGCTCTAATAAGCTTTACTTTCCTTACATAAAAAACTATAAGCTTTTTGTCTTCCTTTAAATAAGCCTAAAGGAAGATAGTGCTCCGAAAAGCAAATTCAAACAGGTTTGGAAAAACCTTGAAGTGGGTTCTCCCTCCTTTACATTTTCTCTTCCTTTTTGTGAAACACGCCTGTTTTTTCAGAGGCATTGAATTTCTTTTGGGATATATTTGCAGTCAAACCATGGCTCATTATGTACATGCTTTTGAAAGCTCGACACCATAAAAGAAAAGAAGTGGTGGTAGCACCCTCACACTCTATTCACTGCTTTTGTAGTTTTTATTCCCACCATTAACACTACTCTACTAACACTTTCAAAAAAAAAAAACCAAAACGGACTCCTAATCTATTTGAAAAATGGGCATGGCCCAATCTTCTTCATTTAATTACCTCAAAAAAATTAAATTAAATTAAAAAAAGAAGAAGAAGCAATACTATCTATGTTTTTAGGTGGTAATATGAGAAAAAAAAACTGGCTTAACTTGTACAAAATATTGCTTTTAAATATAGATCCGTATCACCTGGTTCCTTGAGAGACTCGTCAGGTTCTCTAATACAACCACACCAATTTGTCAAAATCGAACCAGTTCCTAGCTTTGGTTAGGAACCGAGTCGATCACCTCTTATTGTCGATTCAAATAGGTAGTTTCTGATCAGGATTGGCCTTTTTTAAATCACTAGTGGGGAATGTCGCGAAAGGGCAAGCACAATGCCCTTAAGCTTCTACCCAATCGTCCAAACAAATAAGAAACAATACATGAAATGAAACCTAACTCGTAAATAATGTGCAAGAATGGGCACTCTTGAGCGCGATTAAGTGGCTGCTCCAGCACTAATTAATCCAGAATAGCTACTTTATTTTTGTTTTATTTCGATTGGTATAGCACAGTTATTAAAAACTAGAGAAAACTACATACGGACCGGGGCCAATTACAAAATGAGAATACGTTGTTCTCAAATTAAAGGCGACACACCTCCCTCCTCAGGTTTTTTAATTTTTTTCAAGTTACTCCCCTACCCAATAAACCGAACACCGCACAAGGAGATTTTTTGCATTTAAATAAAAAATACCTAACAATACTACGTTTTTTAAGTATGAAGTTTGCTGTTTGGTTTTCAATATACCACCAAACACTGGACAGGTGGGCTTTTGCATTTAAAGAAAAAATATTGAACAATTCTTAAGGTTTTTAAAGTATAAAGTTTGTTGTCAGGTTTTCAATATACCTGATAGCTTCTCTCTCTCTCTCTCTAAAGTAATATATTGCATCAAATCCATGAAAGGCTCCCGTTGAGATCGAAATTCATTGCCCCTGCTCTCCCGACCCTGATCTGAGCCAGGTTTTTAAGGCCGACCTCTTTAGCTAAATCTGGAGGTGTTTGGTGGTTCTTTTAGCAAGGATTTTAGTCCAAAGAAGGGGGATCTCAAGGGCCTGGTTTTGGGTTGGTTTGATGGCCACTCCATGGTTTTTTTGGACAGAGAGAGAGAGAAAGGGAGGGAGGGGCTAAGGATGAGGTGGACCTGGTTTTGGGTTGGTTTAACCAATTGGAGCGGGAGTCCAATATGATAACTATATCAAAAAGCATAAACAAGCACAAAAAACGCATATTGACACATCTAGAGAAAGAAAGGCATCTATGAACTTCAAAATTTCATCCACTTTTTCATGGAGGACACCAAATTTTACATGAACAAATATAAGGGGGAAAAAATGTATGAAGTTACAAAATGTTCCACTTTCTCTCCACTACGTTGCAGATACGACCAATGCAACATGCGGCACTCAAAGGGTATTCCGAAACTGTCAAGAAAGAAAAGAGAAATGCAAATCAAGGAAATTACCCACTGATATTAAGCTGATGAAACAAAAAGACAGGCAACAAAAAAATATATATTGCAGAAGAGTTTGGTGTGTGGGCCTCCAACTCATGAGTCCGCCCTGGGACCCAAAACACATCCCAAATCACTGTAATTCATCTCTACCTCAGATCCATGAAATCAAAACTCCAAAAGAAGTGCAGCTATGATGATATTTGAAGAATCAAAATGAAATGGTCCATGAAAAAAAATGTACAGAATAGACCATTTAAGGCTCAAACTTCATTTTCTTTTCAAATTCATGACCATCGCAGCCTAGATGACAGACTTGCAAAAAATTCGATCCAAAATACACACATGGATTTCGGGAAAGTGGACTTGCTATAACAGGAGCATCCCTTGATGCACCTAAGCCGAACCCAAATATAATATGATCCATTTGGTCATAATAAAACAATTACCATGTGGTTTCTCACCATCCACTCTGCTCCATCACCGTCCAACCCGTTGGACACTGATAAATTCATGGCCATCTAGTTATTCTGGCCATATGAACCATATTAGATATTTCCCTAAAAGGAAAAACAAATTCAAAACCAGCACTTTCCCAGCCCTTTGCTGATATGTCAACACTGCAAGCATTTTCCCTTAGGCCCAAAAAGATGTCAAATGTGATCCACACTCCTCTAGACATCTGTTGCGGGGTCATCCTTGGATGCATGCCATTAGAATCACATACTTCAAGCTCCTTCTACACTTCAATTATTGAAATTTATAGAGAGTAAAATGGTCACCTTTTCTTCATCATGGAGAGATTTATTTTGTAGATAACTTTCATTTCTCTCTTTTTAAAAGAAAAAGAAAAAAAGTAATAAGAAAATGAAGGATAAAAACACAAAATCTCAGAGATGTCAAGATGATATCTCAAGAGATTGATGGTAACCCTTACATGATGCCCTACCCCACTGTTTGCCACTACATGATGTCCTGCCGACTTTTTGCCGAAGCTAGTATGCCTAAGAACATGAACAGAAAGATATATATCTGAAGAGTAGGGAAGGGAACTTCCTTGTACCAAAAATGGATGGACATAAAGATCTCTACATAGATGTCTGATAGCAGAGAAAGGAATGGTGCCTCCTCACAAACACATGTGACAACATCGACAAAAATCCCTCACTAATCAATATTTTCTCCCTTAATCAGTAGGTAAAGCTTAAGGCCCACACTCAGAAAACAAGAAATCACAAAAAGGAATTAGTCCAGAGTAGGTCAGCAATTGGGACCTTTGAAATGCACCTCCTCATAGTAATCACCCCGACTCCTTATGACACATGATGCAGATGTTAAGGCATCACCCCATCCGTTTCCTGTATAGATGATCCCAAGTAAGGATGCTTTCATGCAAGGCAGCCCATCCAAAAGCAATTATCCCGGGTCAGGCTATAATACTCCAGACCAGTGGACAAGGGGCCGGAAGTCTAGAATTAGAATCTCCTCCAAGAACTTCGCAAGATGACCCAGTTGAGAACACTCTCCATGACACAGGATACATATCCTCCTATCCAAGTCACTTGATGGAATACATACCTCTTCTAACAATGTCATAGAGCCAGGATATCTTAGAACACAATCCTCGAGGAGAACTCACCTAAAACAGAGGTACCAACAGAGGCTGCCTGCTGTCATCTCATAAAGTCCACCACACTTAATTTAGGATCACCGGAAATCCTGAAATGATAAGGGAAGGTGGCCCTAAGAGGCCCATCACCAATTCACCATGCCAAACAAATTCCCAAAAACTCTTTCCCCAAACGTATTAATTTGTCGCCTGTGCTCCACAACCGTTTATCCAACAATTCTTTCATTCAGCCACTCTGATATGCTACGAAACAACAACCACCCCGCATTTAGGCTGAGAGAAGTCATCCTATTTAACTAAATGGATGCTATGGCCCTTGTGAGTACCATTCGGAAGAGATCCCTCAGAATGTCCTCTAATCTTAGGTTTATGATGCCCTATTGATCCTAATTTTCATTTAGAAAGGTTGTTTGTTATCACTACCCAACTCATCTCTCTGTTATCACCTTGTTAACTTTGATGCATGGCATCAACAGTACAACCCTTCATCCACCCCAACAATAAGGTCAAACTTCCATCATGTCATTGCCACAATGCCACTAAAACAAGGATCTCAAGCTAAAGCCACAAACTTCTCACATGCCAAATTCACCATGTCGAAGTGTCATTATATGTGGCCATCTCGTCCTATAACTGGACTGCCTCCCAATGCGTAAGCCCCATCAAAATCCTAGAACTACTATTATCCATAACTCCATCAAAGTAGGACAATAGCTAACAAAAATTGTAACTCCTCCATTGACAACCCAATGACATTAAGTATGTCCAACTGAAATATGAGAAAAACATTAGAGTGTGATGTGTACAACCTAAAAATTTTGCCAAACAAGGAGCTTAACTGCTTATCATAGCCACGACACCTCTGACATCACGGCGACGGCCAAAGAAAACTGTGATTTTTATACATTCAGTAAGTTTCATTTCCGAGATCTGAATGTGATGGCTTTAACTTAATGAGCTTCAAAATGGGTTAGTGCAGGTCATAATAGGCCATTGAATTGCTCATCCAAATAAAATTAGAAACACTTTGGGGCTAACTCCCTTCTCTCTCTCTCTCTC